TATTGTGTTATACCGGATTAGTTGGTTCGGGTCCGGAGTAATTTCGTAGTGAATCGAGACACTTAGTCTCTAAAGTAGAAGCTTAAGTTGGAAAAGTCAACGGACATTGACTTATGTGTAAACAACCTCGGATTTGAATTTTGATAGGTCTGTTAACTCCGTTAGGTGATTTTGGACTTGGGAGCACGTTCGGAATGAGATTTGGAGGACCGTGGTAGAATTAGGCTTGAATTGGCGAAAGTTAGAATTTTGGCGATTTTGGTCGGTAGTGAAAATTTTGATATCGGGGTTGGAATGGAATTCCGGAAGTTGAAATAGGTTTGTGGTATTATTTTTGACTTGTTGTAAAATTTAGGTCATTCGTACGTGGTTTAGCGGGTTTCGGCATTGTTGGTGGAATTCGAAAGTTTAAAAGTCCTTAGGCTTGAATCCGAGTGTAATTTGATGTTTTGACATTGTTTTGATTGAGTTGATGATTTGTCTAAGTTCGTATGATATTTTGGGATATGTTGGTATATTTGATTGAGGTCCTGAGGGCCTCGAGTTGATTCCGGGTGATTAACGAAACAAGTTTGGAAATTGGAGGAATTGTTAAAGTTGAACTCATCTGTCATAATCACACCTGCGGATGTCTCATCGCAGGTGCGAGCCTGCAGAAGTGAGCGGGAGATCGCATATGCGAGATTTGAGGAGCTGGGCAGAAGGCGCAGGTGCGAGAAGGTTGTCGCATCTGCGAGCCCGCATATGCGAGACGTGGGCGTAGATGCGGAGAGGAGGAATTTGGCTGGCATCGCAGAAGCGGAGGGAGATGCGCAGGTGCGCTTTCGCAGGTGCGAGATTTGGCCACAGATGCGGAACCTGGGATCTTAAGTGAGTTTTGCACATGCGATGGAAATTCTACATGTGTGGCATCACAGAAGCAGAAAAAGGGGCTGCAGGTGCGGTTTCACTAGGCAGAATGTATAAAAAGGGGACTTCGTGATTTTTACTCATTTCCACCATTTTCAATTCGGACTTTGGAGTTTTTGGGGTGATATTTGAAGGGGATTCAAGGGTTTTCACAGAGGTAAGTTGCTTGAGCTCTAATACTCCTAGCTATGGTGCTTTTCCGTTGATTTCTCATCTAATTAGTGGGTTTTTGAAGTAAAAATTGGGGGTTAGGGCTTGGGATTTTAGAGAATGTAACTTGAGAATTTGAGGGACCAAATGATGTCAGATTTTGATGAATTTCATATGGTTAGACTCGTGAGTGAATGGGCCTTCGGGTTTTGTGACTTTTGTCGGATTTCGAGACGTGGTCTCGGGGGTTGGATTTGAGTCGATTTCGGGTTTTGAATCTAATTTAGTAGTTTTCTTGTGGAATTGATTCCTTTAGCATATGTTAATGGTATTGTACTGCTTGTGGCTAGATTCGGGATGCTCGGAGGCCGATTCGAGAGGCAAGGGCATTGCGGAGTAAAGATTTGCTCAGATTGAAGTAAGTAACAGTTTTAAATCTGGTCCTGTGGGTATGAAACCCCGGATTTTTGTGTTATGTGATTATTTTGGAGGTGACGCACATGCTAGGTGACGGGCTAGTGGGCGTGCACCGAGGGTATTGTGACTTGGTCCATCCCGTGGTAACTGTAAAGTTGAATAACGTGTTGTTAGCTATGTGCTCTCTATATGTTGTGGAAATTTGACTATAAGTCATGTTAGAAACCATGTTTAGGCTATATGTTAGTACTGTTGGGACTCACAGATGTCGTGTACATATTGAACTATCTTCTTAATTGTTATTTTGTACTCAATTGTTATTTACTTGATTATTTTATCCCAGTCTCTATTGTACGTTAATGATGTATCATATCATTGTTGTTTGGGCTGATTTCATGATTATTGGGAGCCCGAGAGACTGGAGAGATTTATGACTGAGCAAGGCCGAGGGCCTGATTGTGAGATATTATTATAGCACGTGAGTTGTCCGTGCAGAACGTGAGTTGTCCGTGTGGATCAGATCTAGATATTATACTATAGCACGTGAGTTGTCCGTGCAGCACGTGAGTTTTTTGTGCAGATCGGATCCAGATATTATACTATAGAATGTGAGTTTGTCCGTGCATCACATGAGTTGTCCGTACGGATCCAGATATTATACTATAGCATGTGAGTTGTCTGTGCAGCACGTGAGTTGTCCGTGCGGATTATAGCGCTTGGGCTGTAGGAGCCCCTCCGAAATTTGAACACCCCTAGTGAGCGCGGATACCCATTGAGTGTGAGTGCTGAGGGCTGAGAGCCGAGTGATTGAGCTATTGTGACGAGTTGAGTAAATGTTGCCCTGAGAGGCTGTACTTGCTTTTCATTTGTTGTTGCACTTAGTTGCTATCTGTCATTGTTGTGAAATTCTCTGAAATTAAAATCCGAATAACATGAACTTGAACTGTATAAAACTGATTTGACTTAAACTGATGAACATGGTATTCAGGCCATATATTGATTCATTTGTCATTGTTTTCATTAATTATATTTTGATTCATTGTTAAATTATATATATATCTTGAACAGGTTTCTATGTCTAGTAGGTGTCTTGACCTAGCCTCGTCACTACTCTACCGAGGTTAGGCTTTGATACTTACTGGGTACCATTGTGGTGTACTCATGCTATGCTTCTGCACATTTTTGTCCAGATCCAGGTATTCTAATTGTGTTGTTGAGAGTTGCGTCTACGCGGCACGAGATTTCAAGGTATACCTGCTTGACGTTCGCAGGTCTCAAAGTCACTATCTTACTTCATTATGCTTCTGCTAAATTGTAATTCAAAGCAGTATTGTATTTAAAAATTTTAATGTGTTTTAGTAGTGCTTATGACTTCGTGCTAACGGTTTTGGTAAATGTATGATTATTGGACACTTGCGGCTATGCCATTTAATGGTTTCTGATAAATGATTAAATAGTTCAATTATTTTATTCAATCAACATGTGTTAGGCTTACCTAGTGTTAGAGACTAGGTGCTATCAAGATATCATACGATGGGAAACTAGGGTCTTGACAAATATGGGTTAACAGAAATCGACTCAATATCATCAAACAATGCTAGAGAATTAAATTGCAATAGATAAAGTTTCAAAAAGACAAAGATCTTTATACTTTTTTCCAAAAAAATAACAAACGTCAACTCGGGTTCGCCCGATCAAACCCCGGGTCCAATGGTAGATTCCGTCCACCCATAACCTCACGAGTTCATATATGTGATTAGTTTCAAAATGCGAGTCCAAATCGACTCTCAAAACTCAATTTCTTATTTTTCAAAAACATAGCAAAGTTTCACCAATTTCTAGTTTGATTCAAATGGTTTTGATGTTAAAATCTAAGATATGTTGATGGAATATGATTAGAAATAAATTAGAATCACTTGCCCAAGGTTTGTAGGTGAAAATCCCTTCTCCAAATCGCCTCCTACTGAGTCTAGGGTTCAAAAATGTGAGAATGAGTTCAAAACTCCCGTCTGCCAACTCTTTAACAAGCTCCAGATGTCGCATTTGCGACACAAGGTTTGCATTTGCGAACCCTCGCAATTGTGGACTAGGGCTCGCATTTACGAACCCTGACAGGCTCAACATGCATCGCAATTGCAATAAAATTGCGAACTGGGGAACATCGCAAAGTCGGGCAAATTGTTCGCAATTGCGAACATGACCAAATTCTGCTAGCTTCGCAAATGCGAAGGTGAGATCGCATTTGCAACAACTGCCCATCACCTATCACCTTCGCAAATGCGAGCCTGGTATTCGCATTTGCGACACCAGAGCACCAGACATCAGTTTTTGCAAATTTTCAGTCCAAAATACTTTTGGAACGTGTCCGAAACATATCCAAGCCATTGGGGCTCCAAACTAAAAATACACATAAGTCGAACAATATCATACGAACTTACTCGCGCGATCAAAACATAAAAATAACATCTAAAACTACGAATCGAACAATAAAACGCATGATTTTCAAAGAAAATTTCAAGAACTTCTAGAATTACAACTAAGCGTCTGAAACCTATCAAATCAGCTCCAAACGATACCAAATTTTGCAGACAACTTCTAAATGCCATAACGTACTTATTCCAAATCCTAAAATTAAATTCTGAGCTCGATAGCTAAAAGTCAACCTACAGTCAAACTTTTCAATTTTAAATTGCCAAATTTCGGCAAGTCAACATAAAATCAACCTACGGACTTTCAAAATCAATTTCGGGCATACACCCGAGTCCAAAATCACGATACGAAGCTATCAGAATCATAAAAACACAGTTCCTGGGTCGTTTTCACAAAAGTCAAAGTTTGGTCAATAATTTTAAATTTAAACTTCTAAGTCAAGATTCAAGGGTCAATTAAATCCGAAAGCTTCCCAAAACGAAACTAATCAGCCCCACAAGTTATAAAAGCATAAATACACATATGTGACAAATCAGGACGTTGCATCATTATACATGTGTTATCTGACAAATCTGTCTTCTTCTGTGCTTGTCACTGCGTTTAGCCCAAGGTTAGTTCAGTTACTTATTGAGTACATGGTCGGTTGTACTCATACTACACTCTGCGCTTCATGTGCAGATCAAGGTATATCTGGACGTAGTGATTGCTAGATCTGTGCTAGTACCTGCTTGGAGATTTCAAGGTAGCTGCTATGACGTTCGCGGACCTTGACTCTCTTTTTCTTATTTTCTTCAGTACTGTTCTATTACTCAGACAGTTGTACTAGGGAGCTTGTTTATTTTTTGATACTCAGTTGTGCTCATGTACTCGTTGACATCATATTTTGGGGTGGTTGTAGTAGTATTTATGTTATTTGTAGCAGATATTTATGATATTTCCACTGTTTAGTTTATTAAACAATGTTTATTCAAATGTCTAATTGTTATGCGATTGTCTTGCCTAGCATGTGTGTTAGACGCCATCACGACGGGATAAGATTTTTGGTCGTAACAATTTTATATAAATCTCAAACACACCCAGCAGAATATACAACAATCCAATAAAAAACAACTCAAAATTAGGAGAAATATTTAAAAATACATTACCACATCATAGGTTCTAGAAGTTGATATATCTACATAATCATAATGATTGTTTGCGACCTCAACTTCAGTACAAATCTTATTTTAGTATTTTGTACGAACCTCGATACAAATTTTATTTTAATAATTATGAACCACAGGTGCCATGGGGGCTGAAAACGGAACACTCCCAGGAACCAGGGTGACACTTGGGGCCACAAGATGCACCAATACAGTCGTTGTCTGTCAAACAACACCTAGTGTACAAACATCCAAGTTTTCTAGGACGACTAAAATAGAAGGGTCCTGCATACAAAAAACAAGTCTCATAATACTCATACATTTATCAAAGCCATCACTAATTTGAAAATAAATGAAGATTAATGTCTAACTCACTTTTATTTGTGTGAATTCTATTGTGGTTAATTATTGGAACTTTACGAAATATAGTTTGAAAAGCTGCTAAAGCTTTTTCTTTTTAGGAGATAAATTTACTTTATGAGCACCACACAAACACATAAATATTTCAATTTTCTTGAAAATACTTTGTATTAAGACAATAGCCGTTGTCAGCAAAAAATGATCAGTACTATGATTTAAAATTATAGATTCCTTTTTACCTTCACTTATTCAAGATACAAATCGTATACTACATTTAGAAAATTTCATTTAAAAATAGAACATGATACTAACTTAAGAAGCGAAAAGTTTAAATTCTTTGCACACACTAAACTTTGAGAGCTTAAAAGTGAAAGCTTATCCCAATATACTTCATATATACGGATACATTTGTGCCAATTCTCAATTTCTATACGTCCTATCATTAAATGATATTTATGTTTTTTGACACCTTAAATAATTATCACAAATTGATGCTTGGACTAAAAACTGATCAATTAGAACTATAAATAGAGTCACATACCATAATAACTTTATATGATCGATTAACATATGCATTAATCTTTTGAATGTAGAAAGTAGATCTTTCATGATCATGCTATTAGTATTATGGTTGCTATTATATTAATGTCTAATTGATTAAAGAACAATTTGCTTGTTGTGTCCTATAAAGGAGAAATGTATTCTTAACAAAATGTAATTAATGTAATATAGTACGGGAAAAAATAAGTTGACCAACAGGCATACCATAACGAGTCGCAACCACTTGAACAAATTCATCAACTTTTTCGGCGTCAAGGTCTTTTGATGCCGGAAGTTGTAAAACATTCAACTCAGTTGACTTGACCTCCTCATTTGCCATAAGTTGTAGAGCTGCCATATTTGTAATAAAGTTTGTGTTAATTATTTTGATATCTAAAAATAATCTCTTTTGATAGTTGAGGTTGAAGTAGGGGGGAGAAAGNGGTTGAAGTAAGGGGGAGAAAGTAGTGAGAGAAAAATCCGAACATTTATATATAATAAAATTATACTAAATAGATGCATAAAGTAAGAAGGCTAGAACCAAACAAAACATCGTTGGAGAACTCTTTCCACCCATTATGATCAATGAAGAAAAACTACGATTATGAAAAAGAAGTTGCAACAATTGTATTGCCTTCGTGATAAACTTATAGGGAGAGTAACAAGCTTTTCTTTCCTTGTTGTAAAAGAGGGAGTAGTTAATTGAGTCGGATAAAAATGACATTAGTATTATTAAATACAAATTACTGGTTCTGATTGAACAAAACAAAAGTGACATTTCAACTAACATATACAAATTATTGGTTTTGAAAAACTTTCATGGAAAATGACATTCATGTACCAAATATAAATAATAGGCATCTTATCTCGTCTACAACTTTTTACATGTTGCTTTTTTAAATTGATTATATCTTTATATTGTGTATAATTTCTCCATTAATATGTCATTGCTTTTAAAATTTGCAAGAAAATTTTATTAATACAAGACGATAGTTATTAAAAGTAAGAAAGAGCATTATACCTAAAAGATCCTCTTACTAATGCAAAGCAGTACATAAAAATAAATATTTTTAATATACACTAAAAGTCTAGAAAGTAAGAACAAATGTTACGAGTACTGGCACCTAACTATGGTATGCTAGGTAAGCCAAACAACAAATAACACAACTCGAATGAAAGATTATCAATAAATAATAAATAAGATTGAGAAAATTCACATAATTATCCCAAGGACTGGTAGTACAAGTCATGAACGATTAAGAACAAGATTACGAGTGCAACTCTAATATGAACAGAGATTACAGCATCTATTTAAAATTTACATAAATATAATATAAAACGTAAACAACCATGAACAAGTGACAACTTGTATCTAGAACACCGGTACCTCTTCAATGCTGGCCTTCATCATCACAGCAGCTCAACTCTGAAATCTGCACGCAAGGTGCAAAAGTATAGTATGAGTATAACTAACCACATGTACTTAGTAAATCTCTTGACTAATCTCAGTGAAGTAGTAATGAGAATTTAAGTCAAAAGATACTAATTTTATGAAACCTGAAATGTTCATGAATGTACATGTGCACAAGAACAATAACAAAATCTAAGCATGAAGTACAAGTAAGGCCATCGATATATATAGACAAGACATGCACAAGCATTGTAAACAAACTAACAGTTCAAAGAACCAGTCAACAGTTGCATATAGAAAAGATATGCATGGATAAATAAGTCAGGTAATACAGATTAATATATAGAGAAGATATATACCGTGAATTATTTCATCATGTAAAGCAACATATAGAGAAGATATGAATAAAAGACATGTATACATTACGGTGATAGCATTTAGAGAAGATATGTGTCACGACCCAAAATCCCAACCAGTCATGATGACGCCTAACACATTTGCTAGGCAAGCCGGACATAACAATAAAGAACCAAAATAACATAATTTATAGAAATAACATATGTCTAAAACTTCAATATAGCAAAATACCGCTAATACATGATATATCCCGTAGAAACTGGTAAATACAGAGTCATAAGCTCTAATACGGAAATAAAGTCTGAAATGACCAAGTACAATACTGTCTGAAATAAAGACAACAGTAATTAAGAAAAGAGACGCCAAGACTGCGATCAAGAATGCAGTTCTACCTCGTCGCTCAGCAATCAACTCTTCTGCTAGCCTCAGCTACTAATGTCTGGGTCTGACACCTGGATTTGTACAATTAAGTGCAGAGTGTAGTATCAGTACAACCGACCCAACGTACTCAGCAAGTATCATAACTACCCTCGGCGAGGTAAAAGAGGCAACAAATATAAGTAAAACTTGCTATAACCTATATAGTTTCATCAATTCAACAAGTACAAAAATAAATAGTGTGACCAACTCAAAAATGTAACGACCCAAGTAGTGATTTTGAGCATTTGTGCTTCGTTCGGTGGTTTGAGGGCACGAGTAGCTTCGTATGATTTATTATGACCTACGGATATCGTCGATTTTAGTTTTTAAGCGGTTCGGAATTGATTCGAGAGAATGATTCTTAGATAGAAAGTTTTAAGTCGGAAGAATTGACCAAGTTTGACTTTTATGTATTTGACCATGGATCTGAGTTTTGATGGTTCTGGTAGGTCCGTATGGCAATTTTGGACTTGGATGTATGCCCAGATTTACATTTGAATATTTCTAGAAGGTTTTGGCTATAATTGGTAAAAGTTGGCAATTTGAAGGTTTGAAAAGTTCATAGGTTTGATCGGGAGTTGACTTTGATGTTATCGAGTTTGGATTATTGTTCTAGGAGTTAAAATAGGTTTGTTATGTCATTTGCAACTTCTGTGCGATATTTGAGGTGATTCCAAGTTGTTTAGATGTGTTCGGGAAATAGTTCATTAAGCTTGATTTGAGGTGCGATTCATAGTTTTAATATTGTTATGTTGGATTTAATACCTCAATCAGTTCTGCATTATGTTTTGGAACTTATTGGTATGTTCGGATGGGTCCGAGTGGCTCGGGTGATTTTGGATAGGTTTGGGTTGTGTTGCACTCATTTGTTTATGTTTCGACATTATTTCTTCAAGCATAAAGGGTACTATATTAATAAAATAATCTCCAAATTCTGTTTTGATTAAAGCATTATATCCGTATCGTAATTACAGATCCATAGAAAAAAGAATCGTTAAATTTGGACATTGTATGAGGGAGTTATTCTCATTTTAGTGTCAAAGAAAAAAGTTGGTGCTTGTGCTTCGCAAATGCAAAGTTGGGTCCGTACTGTGACCCCGTAGGTGCGAAAAATGGTCCGCAAAAGTGGAAATGACTGCTGGAAAACCATAGGTGCGGCTTTTTTGGCGCAAAAACGAAAATCCCTATGTATAAAAAACCCAGATTGCATTCTTTTGGTATTTTGAGCATATCCTGAGTTCTAGTGCTCCAATTGAGGTGATTTTTGCAGCGTTCTTCTTTTCTTTTCATGCGATTTAGTAAATATCATTCAATTTTGTATTTTAACACAATTACAGTAGTTCATTTGTTAATTAATCCATATTTTGATTGGAGAACTGGGGTTTTTATCAAAAATATTTTTAAAGTGAATAATTAAGTTTTGGACATTGATTCGGAGTCGGAATTGAATAAAATTAGTATGGTTGGACTCGTATTCAAATGTATTGTCAGAATTTTTGAGTTTTGTTGGGTTCTAAGGTGCGGGTCTTGGTTAACCTTTTAGTTGACTTTGAGTATTTGATAAAATATTCTACCTTTATCGCTTGAGTTTGTTTCACATGGCATTATTTGATATTTTTGAGTTGCTTTTGGCTAGTTTTGAGCCGTTCGGAGATTGATTCATACGGGATGGATTTCTAGAGTATTGTTTGGCTTACTCGGTATTTGATTTCTCTTGTTCGAGGTTAGTAACATATCTAAAATTAGATTTGAGGGTAATTAACCCTGGGAATGATGTTATATGTGATGTGTTGGGGTGATAGGCGTGCGTGCGTGCACAAGGATGTTCATGATTTGAGTGGACTTTAGACTATTACCAGACTTCTGTTACTATAATGCTTTTTTATATCAGTGTTTTCTTTATTCACTTGATTATTTGAGCTATGATTCATATTAGAAATCATGTGTGCTTATTTGGTTGAGACGTAATGGGGCTATTCTTGCTGTTTTGAGTTGTACGTTTTAACTACGGTTATTTACTTAGTCATGATTCCTCATTTTTATGTCATGTCTCAGTCTCTATACATTAACTATTTGCTATATCATACATGTTGTTGTCTTCCATATGTGATACTGTTTTGGCTGAATTCTATAAGATTGTGAGCCCTTGAGACTTGAGAGGTTGTTGACTGATGTGGGCCGTAGAGCCGTATTGTGAGTGTTATATGGATTGGGTTGCACGCCACAACATGCCTTATTATCTATTGAGTAATATATTGATCGGGTTGCACGCATGTCACAATCCAAAATTCCAACATGTCGTGATGTCACCTAACACATTATTAAGCAAGCCGACAATCACATAATAACTACACATTTGGATTAAAAACATGATTTAATAAGTTTAACAGTGAAAAATCTCATAAATAAATGATAAGAACAACATCGACTCAACTACAAAAATCCCAAAATTCTGGTGTCACCGAATACATGAGCTACTAATGTCAACATAGTCTAAAACTCTAGTACAATTGTCTGAGAAAATAGAATAGTACTGAAATAAAATAAATGGAAGGAGAGTCAAGGTATGTGGGCGTCATAGCAGCTACCTCAAGGTCTCCGAATAAGTACTATCACCACTCTAGCAACCACCGCGTCTAGATGTACCTGGATCTGCACATAAATTGCAGAGTGTAGTATAAGTACAACTGATCCAATATACTCAATAAGTAACCGGACTAACCTTGGGCTGAAAGCAGGGACAAGCTTAGAAAGATACAGTCCGAATCAAAATAATGACAACAAAGATATAACAAGATAATGACTGTAATAACTCAGAGAACTTCTATATTCAGCTCGTACACAGTACAAAAATTTAGGCATGATTTCACGTTCAACAATTTAAGTTCAACTCTGATAAAATATGCCAAGTGCAGCTAGCATGAGGAATGTTTCCTCTCTATGACTACTTGTCAAATATGCATGTTAAATGTAATGCATCACAGTGATAATCCAAGGTACTCACACTCTCAGAGTACTAAATCAGTTTGTCTCAAACTCCCACATATCACACACAATCTCTTAGCACTGTATGAGTGCCTGCGCTTACTGTTGATATGTCAAACTCCGGAGGCGGATCCTGCCCAACCGCTAATATAAAGAAAATATAGCCTACCGAGGCGTGCAACCCGATCCCACAATAATAAATAAGCCAAATAAGGCATGTTGAGTCGTGCAGCCCTATCCCATAATATCACTCAAAATCCGGGTCTCAGGCCCCAACTCAGTCATCAATCTCTCTAGTCTCACGGGCTCACAAATCTTATGCCACTTAGCCCAAACAATGATAATATGATGTAACAGTAAATGAGAACAGAGACTGAGATATGACATGCAAATGAATAAATATGACTGAGTACATAATTACAATTAAAGCAAATAACTCAACAGCAGAAATGCCG